GCACGGTCGTACAAGGCCAAATCATGCTCAAGCGGCTTGAAACGTTTCACTGCCAGGTGGAAATAGGCTTCCAGAACACTGTTTTCTGGTTCCTTTTTCATTCCGGCAAGAACGCTATCCCATTTATTTATAAAGCCCTTGAGGTCATCGTTGACCATTTTGACGGACATGAGGTCTTCGAGTCCGTAGATTGCTCCATGCTTGATGCTTGTGGCAAAATACTCGTGGAACCGAAGGAGCAAGTGTCTACCCTTCACGTTCTTGTCTTCACGAGCACGCAACTCCTTGAATGTAGCAATCTGCCGACCGAGGTCCCCCTCGGCGCAATTGGTTAAGCTTGCAAGAAGCTTTGCGTCGAGGGTTGCAAATCCCTCTGAATCATCCAAGGCATCAATGGTTTGGGAATCTTTGTAGACTTTCCCAACCCAAGATCTCGCCTCATCCGGCTTCGCTGAAGCTGCAGCAATATTGTCCCTCACCTTGATCTTCCAGTCTCTGTACTTCTCAGATGTGGGGAACTTGGGAATGAGAATTTTGTCAGCTTCTTTGGCTTTACTCTCATGATCCTTGTCTTTCGACTTCCTTTGCTGCTTCTTCAGCTCTTTGCGAATGATGCGTGCAAGACGCGATGATTCAGAGCTTGAGTCGTTTGAGTCATCACTCCCTCCTGATGAACTGGGTGACGATGGTGATGGGGAAGGAGAGCGTTTCTTTCTGCGCTCCCTCGAGCGGCCCCTCTTAGGGCTCTTCTCTTTCTTCTTATCCTTACCTTTCTTCTTCTTGTCTTTCTTTGATTTATCACCACCCTCTTCATCAGCATCGGATGGATGAGGCTCATCACCGCCTTCGATCCCGGGCTTCTCCAACTGAGTGCGAAGGCTCGCTGGAGGCAAAGCTGGGGACACCTGAGACCCAAGTGGCTGCACTGATGGTGCAGGCGCTCGGTTCCCCGAGGCGTTGTCAAACCTCTCTCTCAACTCCTTGATGATTCGACTCTGTTCTGCTAGCTCTGACCGAAGTGCATCCTCTCTTTGCTTGGCAGAGGCGCGTTCGTTCTCAACGACGGTGTGTCGTTCGAGCGAAAGGCGATCTAGGTAAGCCCGTTGTTCTTGAAGATGTTGATTTTGATGGGCTTGGTTCATGTCACTCAATCGTTGATTGGCTAAAGCCTCAATCTGTTCCCTAGACTCCTGGACAGCCACTTTAGCTTGGTTCTCCACTAAGTCTCTAAAATGCCTAGCATCCTCAGCTACTTGTTGCCCGTGCTCGGCCAAAATGGCCTGATGCCGCAACTCTGCGATCTGAGCTACCTGTGCTGATCTGTCCTCATTGACGAAGACTGCTTGTTGATGGATCTGTCTTGCATCAACGTTCTGGACATTCATCACAGGAGAAAACTCAGGTTGAAACGGCGACGGTGCTTGACCACTAGGCAACAGGTCCCCCTGTGCACTGAACGTCGGTGGCGCAATTGGTACACGCAACTCCAGCGGAACGACAGGGAGATCAGCAGCAGGTGAACTGGACATCGCAGGCGAAGTAGGAACGTAGCCTGAGCGTGAGCGGTCACCACGGGAACCATCATCATCAGCCATGGCCTCTAGATAGTGCACTACCTAGGGTGGGGTGAGACCACAGCTAGTAGAAAGCACGTACCGCACTTATGGCGATACGGCTGATAACCTGTAGATACAGGTAAACGACCGAGAACTACCAACAAGTCGCACCTGGTTTTCCTTGAGCCAAACGGTAGGTAAGTGAGACATGTATACGATATCCTAGCGTGAAACAACACCTAGGAGCGTGTTTAGTCCATTAAGTAGGCACCTACTTAATTAAGGGCGGGCAAAACATAGAAAAGGAATTTCAAAATAACTCCATTTGCATGGTCGATGTCTGCCTCCGTTCCTCCTCCGTCCTTTTGTCCGACAGCTCCAATCTAGCTGGCCTCACTCAACACGGGGAGGAGAGCCATAGCAGCTAGATTCTCGGGAAGACATATGCAACAATTACATGCATAAAGAGCCATGGAGTATGGTACAGGCAAAAAGGCTGCGTTGGTGGATGTGTTTAGATGAAGGTGGCACTCTTGACTTGGAAGTCACAAATTCCAATTAAACCATCAAGTCGAATACGAACTGTGAACATCCCAGTATTTTGTGTCGTGCATCTCATGTGGCACAGGCAAATCAGTCATGAATCCCTTCTAAATGCCACCGCTACCGTTAAAAGACTCCTGCTTTGCTTGAAGGACAATGTGAAGATACCCCAAGGGAAGGTCTCCAAGGTGAGAGTGTTACATGCTTTCAAGGAATGTGGCACCAACATGCACCTGTGAATGCACAACATTCAGAGGCGCATCCCCACATTCAGGATGCCTTCAAGTGAAAGGAGCTCACAAGCACTCGCATGTAGGCAAATGTCTTTGCATAGAAGCTGGCGTCTAAATGCTTGTAGGCAAGCAGCTTTTTGTTGCTGATTCTTCTACATCAGATTGACAAAGGGTATCTGGATATACCGAGATTCCAGAATTGTTTGCACATTGATGGGTCAACTAGTCAACTAGTTGCCGAAGGAAATTGATTGACACTTCGGAGTTTAGTCGATGGACACAGGTGCGATGCAGTCAAGGGAAGAACCGTGTGACCACGGCAAAGGGGTTCTGAGTGTTTCTGGGCTGCGTGGTGTTTGTTGACGGGAGCAGGTTCGGAGTGGCATCATAGCTGTTCTCCGTGCTTATTGAGGCGTGGAGCGAAGAAAAAGAGATTCCTAGTGAACACGTAGTGAAAAACTGCAATTTCCAGAGAAAAGGAAAGAAATCTAGAAAAACAAGTTGACAGTGTTGCTATAGAACAACCATGCCGATGTATGAAAGTCGATTTATATATGATTATTATAACTGTATATTAATAGAACGAGAGACAAAATGATCAGATTTGTTCTGACAATCGCACAGCACAAACCTATTGCGAGCACAATGCTAACACATGCAAAGCATCAAGTTATGGTAGCGCTTGAAACTTCCATACTTGAAACAATCCCCACAGGACCAAGTACGTCATCTTTGAGTGCGGTTTCCTTCGTGCAAGTGGGTGCTTCGTAGTTCAGAAGGTGACGCTCGATAGATACAAATTGCACAGCGTGCGGTGGGAATGTGTTTCTGATGAGAAGCTGTCCCAATAGATTAGGATGCTTTGAACTCAATTAAACGTGCATTTAGGCAGCAGGGAAACGGATTTACATTGAAGTAGCTTCCTCGAAAGGCACACCCCAAAAAGGGAAAAACATGCCCTTGGAGAGACATAGGGGTTCATGGAGGAGGATGCATTTGGATAGGGTGCCCAATTAGTTCCCGAGAAAAATGCACTTTAATAAGAGTGGAATGAGCACGAACGAATTGCCATCATATCACAACGTGTGTGCAAGCAGCTCGCTTGCCCAACCTGAAGAAAACTTCAGATTGTTCTTGGGGTTCTCAACTTTGAATTCTCTTAAGATTCTGAGGGCTTTGCTCCTCACAGGGTTATTCTGCGCTTACGTTTCGACTTGGCACCTACAAGTGCTGGGTCAATGATCCAATTTGATAGCCTTCACTCTGAAGCAAGTCTGGGCCAACTATTGCTATCTACGATGAGCTTGCCGAGCACTTGCCGTCTACAACGGTTCGGATCGCTCTCTCCAAAGAAAAAACAGCGGTGTGGTTTCCAGCAGATTGTACGACGTGTCCCGAGTGACCTTAGTGACCTAGATTCGCAAATGAATATATTTGAACTTCAATTGGGGAGCGGGCAGCACTCCCGCATGAAACAATCGAACTGTTTCGCTGGCTGGCTTTCTGGGCGGCCTGAATTGACCTTGTTTTCCGCCCTTAGAATGCCAGGGCCTAGTCGGCCCCGAGCCCAAGAGCGGGCTTCGGGGTGCCGACCGACTCCACGCACCGGCGGAATTCTGTCAAACGCCTTCACCTGGCACACCTGTCACCCGTTATCACTCGGGGTGCAAAGTAGGTCACTTAGTGGCCCTTTGGCCCTGGGTGCTTAGTGAACCACACCTTGCAACCTTCGGATTCAGTGTACTGATTGATTAGGGTGAAAATGATTTTCCATCGTTTACACGTTTGCTGGATGCCCTCCTTACACTTGCTTGCACTTCTGTTTGCGAGTTTGCAAAGTGGTCTCATTATTGCTTGTAGATTTCCACCATCTCTCGCTTCCTGTCATTCCTATTCTAAAACAAGCGGCAGGGGCGCTATTTGATGCGTTTCCTGTTTCCAGCAATGGTTTTTGCCCATAAAGGGAGGCGCCGCCAATACCTGATGCTTATGGCGCTGGATCAACTAATGTCTGTTGCTGATGGACTTTGTACGTGCTCAAGATCTACCGGGCGGCAAAGTTGCTTTACGAAAAGGAACCAGTGAACTGTTTCTGATTTGGAGGTCCACTTCTGCGATACACTGTTGAGATTTGCCTCTCGGACTAACACATGAATCGGTGTACCGTGTTTTGCTTTCCTATCATACGTTTCCGTTGCGAAAACTGCAATGTACTTAAAGACATTCTTTCACTTTACGTCTATGGTTGATTAACGGTTGATTGTGTGCACTAAGACCTCACCCCCTGTACCCCAAATGTATTTCTGCCAGGGCTGTGGGGCGGGAATTCTACTTTTGACGCATCTTGCCACTGACCAAGCCTCACACTGAACGGACTGATCCAGTTTTTAGAAAGGAAATAGGGGGAGTGGCGTGGGCAGTAAGGGCGTGGAACAAAAACTGCAAGACACAGAAATGCTCTGGGAACTAGTTGGATCGTCAAACGTCCTTCTGTTTCTTGCTGTGTCAGTCTGGATGCCGACAGGATTGGACAGTCAAACAAACAAAGAAATATTCAAAATATGTAATATGCATGGGCTCGTTGATGCTCTTTGCACAGGAGTAAAAGCCAAAATTGCAATTGCACAGCATGGAGGCTGTTCACTCACAGCTGGCCTGAGTGCCTCGCGAGAAGATCTTCCGAGGAACTACTTTGGACCCTGGCCTGGAGGAAAGCAGAAAAGAAAATGAAACCATCATCTCAAAATACTTTTTTTTTAATAATGCGTCAGCTAGTCAAAAGGTAAGAACTGGAGGCATAGAGATACATTTCGACTAGCTACTCTCTTCCTTGCGTCATTTTTGGGTAAGGAACCAAAAAGGGTGTGTTTAAAACCAAATTGGGGATGGGCCATGTTTGATGATAGTGTCTAAAAATGGGTCTAGAACTTAAAAAGGAAGCAGGAATCCTAAACGCCACTATAAGAATTGCCATCGCTACTAGGTTGGAGGCCATTGCTAGTTGGTTGGAGGCCATCCCTACTAGGTTGGAGGCCATGGCTTCTAAGTTGGAGGCCATCGCTACTAGGTTGGAGGCCATCGCTGCTAGGTTGGAGGCCATCGCTGCTAGGTTGGAGGCCATCGCTAGTAGGTTGAAGGCCATCGCTAGTAGGTTGGAGGCCATTGCTGGTAGGTTGGAGGCCATCGCTACTAGGTTGGAGGCCATGGCTTCTAAGTTGGAGGCCATCGCTAGGAGGTTGGAGGCCATCCCTACTAGGTTGGAGGCCATGGCTTCTAAGTTGGAGGCCATCGCTAGTAGGTTGGAGGCCATCCCTACTAGGTTGGAGGCCATGGCTTCTAAGTTGGAGGCCATCGCTAGTAGGTTGGAGGCCATCCCTACTAGGTTGGAGGCCATGGCTTCTAAGTTGGAGGCCATCCCTACTAGGTTGGAGGCCATGGCTTCTAAGTTGGAGGCCATCGCTAGTAGTTTGGAGGCCATCCCTACTAGGTTGGAGGCCACGGCTTAGGTTGGAGGCCATCGCTAGTAGGTTGGAGGCCATCCCTACTAGGATCCCTACTAGGTTGGAGGCCATGGCTTCTTAGTTGGAGGCCATCGCTAGTAGGTTGGAGGCCATGGCTTCTTAGTTGGAGGCCATCGCTAGTAGGTTGGAGGCCATCCCTACTAGGTAGGAGGCCATCGCTAGTAGGTTGGAGGCCCCCTACTAAGTTGGAGGCCATCGCTAGTAGGTTGGAGGCCATGGCTTCTAAGTTGGAGGCCATCCCTACTAGGT